CCCTTGAGCTCTGTGTCTTAATTTTAAAATAATACACATTTTATTTGGCATCTGAGCTGTTCCCCTCATTACTTAATTTTATTTTTTCCCTCCGATAAGTCAACTTGCAATTAATCCAGAATGCTGAATTTGTGACTTTGCAGATGCCAACACAGTAAGTGCCTGGGATATCATCATAGGCATGAGATAGTGACTCTCTGGGGAGATCAAAAAGAAACCAAGATGCAAGAAAATGCTGCCATAATTATCTGCAAGTGGGTTAGCTCAATGTCACTGCAGCAAATTCTGTGTGGTTACTGGAAGTGGTGTCTCCGTACCAGAGAGCAGTCCTGTCCCTGAATATCTGCTAAAGAACATCAATAAGGACATTAAAAACAGATTAAAAACAAAACCCAAAACACTTAATGCTCTAAATCTTTGATTGTACTGTCATGACAATGTACTGTGGCAGTTTTCTCTTGGATGAATTTTTCTCCCTGGAAAAGTAGAGCAGCGTATTCGACAGAACTCTACGGCTGGTAGCAGGGAAATTATTTCTCTGATATCTGCAGAACTGCGCCTACACACACTGTTGAAAGTTGTGGGTTTTAAGTTGATCTTTCATATGGACCTGACAGCAAAAATGTGTTGCTGATGATTTTACTTGTTCACTGTCCACTAATGAGTGCAGTGTAAAGAAAGTGCCTGGGCTGAAGCTGTCGTGATTCCCCAGCGTTCACCGTTGTCGGTGCCTCTCTCGGCTGCCGTCAAGCTGCCGGGACGCATTACTGCAAATCACTGAGCAACTCGTGCAGTCCTGGGAGTCTTCAGGTGCTGCTCAGGGCTTGGGAGATTCCAGCTCCAGTTTTATCAAAATGCTGGCAACCTGCCATGTGTTTGTGCGAGCTTGACTGCAGAAGGTCAGGGGAGGACCCTGAAAGCCATTCAGCTGTTTCTTGCTCAGAGCTGTGCTGGGTAGACAGCATCGCCTGAGATGCACTCTTCTATGAGGGGCTGGAGTATTTGATGCATTTCTTTTGAGCTCTGTGTGTGTCTGTGTGTGTGTAGGAGCTTCACAGCTGCTGGCTGTGCCCTGAGAGTACTGAATGTTCACAGCTTGTCGGGTAGAGACACGCACTAACTAGGAACCAGCAGCTCCTCGTCCTGGGTGAGGATCAACACAAGGGAGGGCATTTGTGCATCCATATGGATGCAAGGACTGCATCAGGCTGGTGGATTCATTACTTGTTCTGGTTCATGACAGGATAAGCAGGAGAAAAACATATCATCTTGCTCAGGCATGCACTACAGAGCTGGTCAGCTGCAGGGGAAGAGCCCTCCTGGTCTCTCTGTCAGGCATGGAGTAGCCTGCTCACTGTCTGCTGAGACAGATGTGGTATGGTACCCTCAAAGCCACTGCTGGATGGAGTTGCCTGCAGGACTCCCTGTCTGGATTGGGAGTTACAGGAAAATACACTTGAGCTTCCGGCACCACCTCTAGAAACTTGCTTACACACAGCATTTGTCCCCAGATTTCTCAGGCTCTAACCATCCTGGGAAGTGTCAGAAAGCTGGAGAGCGCTGCTGTTTTTACAAATGGGGAACAGAAATTTTCATTTGCTTCTAATATCTCCACTCACGAGGAGTGCAAGATGGGCAGCAGCTTTTTGGCTGTTAGACCATCAGACCAGCCATAATCATCATGTTTTATGTTTCTGCACGGGCTCCTGACCACCTGTATAATGTCCATCTGTTGAACTGGGCGGGATGCCTACCAACACTACGATCCAGATCATTTGAATGAGGCATGGGTTTCCAGGAGGTGATGATGTTCCTGAAGGACAGTGTGCAGTAGCATGACAAATGCTGTCCCTTCTGCGTGGAGTCCCTCCCATGCACCACTCTCATGGCAATGCTGTTCACCTCTCATTACCTTAAGGCATTTGGGGAGATTCAGCTAGAAGAATTGTAAACATGTTGTGGCAATGATAGCAAATGAATATTCAGAGAGAGTCTCTGGCCCTCTGAGAGTGAGCAATTTTAATGTGTTCAACTCAGAGCTGTTCACTGCTTTTCTATGAATGGTAAATTTGCTGGAAAATGCAGTTTTAGAATAACCAAAACTATTTGCCCTCTGGAGTGAAATTTGTGGACTAGCTTTAAGAGGGAAAGGATGTTGTGCAACTGACTTCAGGAGTGACAGTGAACCTGTCTCTGCCTTCTCCTTAGCCAAGGTGCAAGGACCCCATCACATCAAGCTGTGAGCTCAAGATCTCTTTACTGTGAAAGGAATTTTGAGCCTGCAATGCCCACCTCCTGCCAAATTCTGATAAGGTCAATAGTCTGAAAGCCTGATGCTGGTCTTATTACCTTTTAAAAGTGATTAGGGTTATTAGAACAATATTTGGGTACTGGGGCTCTGAGCACAAAGTGCTCATCAAGGTCAAGTTGGATGGGGCAGTGAGCAACCTGGTCTAGTGGAAGGTGTCCCTGCCCATGGCAGGGAGATTGGAAGCAGGTGATCTTTAATGTCCCTTCCAACCCAAACCATTCTGTGATTTTATGAATATGGAAAGTATTCACCTTGGGATTTTTTTTTTTTTTTTTGCACTCACTGACTGTGCCCTGATGAAAATGGAAGAAACTTGATAGGATGGATCCAAGTCCTGTCCTTATAATGTCAGGTTGTCTTGCTGCTTGTTGGGAAGAGGATGGCAAAGCTTATTTTGGGGAATGCTTAGTTATAGGTCTGATAGTAATGGAGTGAGAGGGCCCATGTGAGAAGGTACAGCCAGACAATGAATTTCTGCCAGGGCACCTTGGTCTTGGCTGGCCTTCTATACTCAGCTGTGTCTTGGCTGTTTCTACAGAAAAGAATGCCAAATGCAATAAGTTATGAAATTATTGTTTTGGTTTGTACATTTGTGTTGATTTGATTTCTCACTTGGAAGCCAGTGGCAAGTAGCACCATGCAGTAGTAGCAGATCTGCAGAGCAAAAAGGCAGTGAAGACCCAGGCAGATTTCAGGGGGGGTTCCTTCAACACAGCTTCATTCTAATCCCACATGAAGGAAATTTTGCAAGAAGCTTGTAGCAAACCAGGAGACAAAATACTGTATGTTGAAAATGTTGACTTTCTACTTGCTTAGTTTTTTTGCCAAAACAAAGACTTTAAAAAAAACTGGCATGTATTCATGAGTCATATCAATGCTGCTGAAGCTGTTAAGTTTCTTGTTGGCAATTGTTTCAGGTGAAATTTTGTTTGATGCTTCTTGAGGTCTTCTGGCATTCTACTTAAACCTGTGTATGTTGCTGTGTGTGCAATTCTTGTTTTTGTTTCAAAGAGGTCTATACATAAAATTGATACCTTCAGAACAATTTAAAAAGGTATTCTTATACCTATCTCTCTGCCAATGCTAGAGAAAGGAAAAGAAATCCAGTGCTGCTGACTTAACTTTTTTGTTCTGACTCCTTTACAGTGAGAAATCAGTCATGACGTGTTTTCCTTAGCTGCAGGAAGTGGAGAGAGGGGGCAGCAACAACAGCAAGCTGGGCATTTGGGAGCTGAGAAAAGAACTAGGGATCACATGCTGGGGAACAACCCAGCTGCAATGGAAGGAGTATGTGAGGCTCGTGCAGAAGTGGCTTTCAGTGCAGTAAGTTTTGCCTGCATGCTGAAGGCTACAGGCACTGTCAAGTGGTAAAGGTGGGGTACTGGTGCTCTTAAGACTGTGTGGACTCTGGAAAGCAAGTAGAGTATCAAGAGTGTATCATACTGACTTTCTCATGCAAAGGTACCCAGCACCCCAAACAGCAAGTGTTCCTGTTACTTAGAAATTTTGTGCTTTAAGTATTGCATTTTACCATGACTCCGACCTCCTTACCAGCTACATTCAGTGATACATATTTGGGATACTTCAGTCTTTTTCTGAAACGTGATTTCATTGGTACAAGACATCAGAACAGCTCAAACATTGGTGCAAGTTTTTGTTGTGTGTGAATGGCCTAGGATTTCCTGCTGTATTTCTCATTCAATCTTGGCATATCCAGAACCATATGGCAAGGAAAGGCTATAGTCTTGACAGGATACTGGTTGTGGAATAGTATGTAAGTCTAACATATCAGGGATAAAATAGACATCAGCAAATAGCTACTGGCAATTTAACAAATTGTAACCTGTTGTAGATTTTATAACAAGAGATGAGATGATTATCATATCAGAGAAATAATCTGTGCATATTTATTGCCCTTGTCATGGTTGTCAACAAGTCTCTCCTGTAACTTGCATGCTACAAATACCACATTCTTTTAAACCTACTCAGTGTGTAAATTGTGCCATCTTAAACACCAGTTCTGAATATTATTTGGTGCCTTGTGCTAAATTTTCATGGTGCCTGCCACTTACCCTAATTCACTGATTTGTTTTATTGTTTGCAACTAAGTATGTTCTATGAGATTTCTCTCAGTTCCAGAACAAGAATTTACTACTATGGTAACACAATCTAAATCTCTATAGAGGCATAGTAAAAGCAATTCTGACAAGTCTTGCAAGGTTTGTAAGTCCAAAGTTTCTATTTAAATATTGCTTGTCCAGCTTATAACTTGGGTTCTTTGTTAGTATGTCTTTCAGAAACAAGAACAACACAGACTTTAAAATTTCTTTTAAAAAAATTCCTGTGCCTGAAAATCTAAATTGGTTTTTGGACAAAGGAAAAATGACACTAAAAAGAATCGAGTTTTCTAGAATGTTGCCAGTGTTCATTCAAAGTTTTTTCAAAAGGTGAAATCAGAAAGGTTTTGGAACCAGCAGGAGTTAGATAGTTTCCAGCTGTCTATTCAGGTTTCTGTTCTCAGAAGTAGGGCAGTGTCAGACAGTCAGAAGTTTGCCTGGACTTTCTCTGGGCTTGGAAAAAGTGTGAGGTTAATTGTAAATATGCATATGAAGAGCAGTTCTTAGGTGAGTTATGAGACAATTAGGGAAACCTATGTATGACCAACTCCTTTTTCCCTGTGGTTTTACAGGTTCCAGAATCTACTGTGGTCTCGAAAGGCATTTGTGGACAGCGTGAAGGTCTATAACCACAGCTACATCTACATGCCAGCCTTCTCCATGAAGACAGGGACGGGACCCTCCCTGCGTGTCTATTACACCCTGGCGGACTTTGGTGCCAAGCAGACAGTTCTTTTTGCCAACCCCAATTTCCTGCGTGACATTGGCAAGTTCTGGAAGAGCAAAGGCATCCATGGCAAACGGCTTTCCACGGGACTCTTCCTAGTCAGTGCCGCCCTTGGTCTGTGTGAAGAAGTAACAATTTATGGCTTCTGGCCGTTCTCGGTGGACCTGCACGGGAGGTTTATTAGCCATCATTACTATGACAATGTCTTGCCTGATTCTGGATTCCATGCCATGCCAGAGGAATTTCTACAGCTTTGGTTTCTTCATAAAAGTGGTGTACTGAGAATGCAGCTAGAACCATGTGAGGACCCTTTAATCCAGCCTTCTGCCTGAGGATTGTAGGAGTCGGTTTGGAAGATCCAATAGTTTTTAATTTCCATGCTCTCCAACAGAGAGTTCTGTTTTATGTTGGTTGTTTTTAAAGGGAAAGTAATTGTGGATCTGCATGGACCATAAAAATGTTACTTGAAGGCCAAATGGAATACGTCCTTAATGTTTAGTGCTTTACGGAACTGGGATGGGATGAAGTGTGTCTTTCCATCGAGTCCATTCAGCAGCAGTGTGAAAACAATGTCAGAAGTAGCACAGCTGAACTTTCCGGGGACGTTTTTAAATGACCGATGTAAAAAGGGCATTAAGGCTCGGGGAGACACAGGGCCACTCACAAGCTTTTGCTGACAGTGCCAAATATGACTGTCTGTTTAAAAATCCATTTCATTCCAGATCGGCACCCTGTTAACTTACCTTTTTCCTTTTTTTTCCCCCCTGTGTTTGTGTGTGTGGAGGTGTGTGTGTGTGTAGGAGAGCATGTATGTGTATGTGTAGGAGAGCATGTGTGTGTTGTTGACTTTCTTTGTTTCTTTTCCTTTTTTTGTCCTTTTTTTCTTTTTTTCTTTTTTTTTTTTTCGTTTTCCCAATTGAAGGAAAAGGAAAGGCTTAAAAGCCCCAAGAGCTGAGGACCATCGGCTCCTCTGAAGACTCTTGGGAGAGTGAAAGTGCTAAGAATCTAATGAGAAGAATGTCCTAGGAATGCCCTGCTAGTGGGCATGGATAGACCTACCTGTTGTAGGTTTTATCAGGATACTTTAGTTCATTGCACTTACAGCTGTGCTAATGTTGTACTGTGGGCAAGAGCTGGATAAGGCAAATTGGTCTGAAAATAAAACATGTTACAAAACCAGTAGTGAAGTGCAGCCTGTTTTCAGATGACCTGCTGCAAGATTTCCACAGTGACTTTTGTAGTAGGGATGGTTCCTGACCTGTTTTACTGTCCAGCCTTAGGGATTAATTCAGTATTCATTTACACTCCAGGTGTTTATTGACCGTCGAGGGGATTTGAGGGGTTCAGTGGAATGCAGAATGAGGTTCTTCATTTGCTTACAGCAGGAAAATTGCAGAAATGAATGTAAGTGTCATTTAAAATGAGTTGAAGCTTTGAAAATCGTTTCTCTGTGTGTGACTAGCTCTTCTGCTCGGATTGTTACGTTAGCCTTAAAGACTTGTACTTTTCGCGCAAGATTGTCTCTGGTTAAAGAGAGTCTGAAAAATAAAACAGCCTTTGGGAGCACTGAAAAGCTGCATAGCCAGCAAGAAAAAAGGAAAAAAAGAGGATGGCCTGCCCTTACATAAGTCAGCCTCTCTCCTCGCAGTGGGTGAATTATGTCAGTGTGCGCATTGCACACACACTGCTCCAGCCTGCACAGCGCCTGAAGGACTGTTTTATTTTGGGTTGTTACTTGGGCAGCAGATGGTCCTGTGATCGCCATGTAAATGAGAAATCTTTTTGTTTGTTTGCTTTTGTTTAGCCCTGTAGGACAAGAAGAGAATACCAGCTCAGTCCGTGGTGCAATTTCAGCTGCAAGGTGTTATCACCATTAACTTAAAAAATCCAGATCAGTGTTCTCTTTCTTATCCCTCCATCATTAGTAGCTGAAAATCTAGTCAAGGTGTTGAAACAACAAATCTCATCAGGTTTCCCCAACAACTTATTGTGCTGTTTTAGCTCCAAAGTGCCAGTATTTTGGGGCATATGTCCTGTCATATGTTGATAATGTCTCTCCTTGTAGACTACCAGCTGCGAGTTATAAAGACATAATGAAAAAAAAAGAAAAAAAGGCAAAATCCATGGCTCTTCTTTAAATGTGAATATTTCGACTATCGATATAGGAGTCTGGGGGGGAAAAATCATGTTTTGCTTTTTAAAGCTATGTTTCATAATAAAATTGGAATATGGATATTCCAAGCATAAAGCGGGCACTGTTTCATAGGATTACAGGGCAATGCTAAAGGGTAACGTGGAGATTTGGATTAAATAGTGTTCTAGATATTGTTCTGATAAAATCTGAATGTACCTTTATAGCCCATGTTATCTTTGTCCATGTTTTTGTTAAAAGTACAGTCAAAGCACTGATGGAACATCACTTGATAATTCATTCCCTTTCATTATGTTTGTTTTATCTTTGATGTGGGTATTTGGTGAAGAAGGATTTGAAAGTCAATTATTTTCCTTACTGCTTGTTATGGCAGAATTTTACTGAGCTGCCTTTCTTGGAGAAGAAGAGGTGCCTGTATGGTTTTTATTGTACACATCAAGTTTTGCACTTTTTATTGCTTTATAGATGAGATTATCTGTGAGAACAACAGTTGAAATATGGTGTGCTAAAATGGCACTTCAACAGGATGCCAGCATTCCTCAGAGGTGGCAGGGAACGAGTAGAGTAGAGGGGAACTGCCTCTTTGCTGGTCATTTTTTGGTATTTTTATCAATACTTAGGAATTCAGTTCTGAAACTCTCTGCCAATTCTCCAGCCCTTTGGTAATCCTTTTTTCCATGTCTTGAGAAAATAATTGGATTAGAAGAACAAGGGAAAAACATGTATTTTTGTAGGAAAATTCTGTCCAATGTTTCATAATATCTGGTTTGTTCAGGATGAACCAGTGTCCTGGATATCTGAAGATGTTGTATTCCCCAATTCTGAAAGACTGAATCTGTAGCCTGCGGTCTTTGTGAGTCCCTGTCTGCAGTCCTGATGTTTGCAAGGAGATAGCTTCCTAGAAATTATGGGAACAGGAGAGACCCAGGCTGTGTGTGATGTGTGACTGCTGTTGGAGAAATTGATAATTCTGGCTCTATTCACATGTACGTATAGTGAATATAACTGCATCTTACAAAGGCAGATGAGGAAGTAAAGGATTCAAGGGTATATATTTTTCTATTACTTCCAGGAAACTGGAAGTTGAAGAAATAAGATAAATAAATGCCCCTATTGAGAGAGCAAAATCTGTTTTAGCTGGCTGACTTGTCAGTCCGTGGAAACACTGGCCAGCAATCAGTCTTTTGCCCAGCGAATAAAAAGGGATGCAGGAGAGCACTGCAAGTCTTTCGTGGCAAGAGCGGCCAAAAAGACAAAACCAAGCAGCTGTGAACGAGTGGCTACTACCTGACAGAAATGCTGAAGTAAATATACTCCATTCATGCCCAGTGTGAGGCTTTTCTTACCTAAATTCAGGAGGAGGGCAATCCATGTGTGAGATCATTGATGTGAAATATGGCATTGCATGCAGGAGCGCAAAGATGGGGCTGCCTTCAAGAGAGAGGTCACACCATGGAATAGGACCATGGTTCTGCTTAAGGATAGGCACAAGCAAATCCAGGAGGATAACTGTCAAGTGTGAACCATGAGGAATCAACATCTCACAGTCATGGCAAACTTTGGTGCGAGGGATTGTATCCATCCAGCATTTACCTATCAATTGATTCCAGTCCATTGATGGCAGTGTCCTTAATCAAATCTTACTGCTTGTGTTGCTGTATTTTCTTTGAAGTAAATTGGAATCTTAATGTTTACTTTGTTAGTAAAATTCCCTACTCTAGTTTCTCTGTTTCCACTGTCAGTCCCCGAATTTCTCTGATAGTGTAGCTAAAGCTGCACAAATCTTTGCCAGGTTGAAAGCTACTGCAATTCATCTTCAATAAAAACTAATTCAGATTGGCCAAGTGATATGCTAATGTTCCTACATATTAATTTTATCATAGAGCTGACAAGAGACAGAAGTGCTAGAGTCTTTGCTCCACCTGCATAGGAAGCATTGCCCCACATTTATGAGTAGAATAAATTAAATACCTTTCTAAGAGCTGTACATGGAAAATAGCTGGTACTGAAATCACTCTAGATACAATATTTTTGGGGCTGTGTATGTTTTTGAGTAAATCAAGATCAGTTTTTGAACTTGCAACAAAACTATGTAAAACTTTTCCTTCTTGTTGATTATGAAGCCTTTGGAGCTCCTTCTGAAACAGACAAGCAAACAGAAACGAGCAAATTAAATCATAGAGAAAATGTGCATGTGTTCATGAGAATAAAAAACCTATAATTTTGCCACAAACCTTGCTACAGTGCTAAGGACTCCTATCCATGAACATTGTATTTTTGCTGAAGTGAAGGGACCAAGTTTGGGGTGAACCAGCTACTAAAGACATAGGACTGAGCCTTTGTTACAGCTTAAGTTTTATAGAATATAGAAATATTGGCTGGTTTTTTGACTTGACTGCTTTTATCTTTTTATTAGTTTCCTCAGAATGATGTTGTAAGATACACTGCTGAGTTAGCACCTCTGTGAGAGCCGAAACTAAGTAAAGCATCTGCTTTTTTTAACTCCATGTCCTGGACTGTGGTATTTAGGTAAAACCCTTCCTTTATACATCTTCAAGAAAACTAGCTTAAGATCTGGCTCACCCTTGCCTGTAATTAATAAGGAGTGATCTAGAAGTGAGGATATTGAAGGAGGTGAATGCTGTCTCACCGTTTGCTGCCTGCTCTGACTTCTTCAGCTTGATGGTTTAGTAAGTATTGGAAGAAGTCCAGGTTATATGAAGGACAGGCAGTTCTTGAAGAGTTGGATGCTGACAGAAAAAAAAGGAGGATCAAATTAGTGGTGAAAGAAATTGGAGTGTATCAGTTCTTTATGAAGATCCTCAGTGCTTAGCAACTGTAGGACATTTTCATCTGGCAGTGTCTGTGAAAAAGGGACTCCCTGGGACTTACTGATGCTTTTCTGCAGGATGGCAGCAAAGCAGAATGCAATGAGGAGGGGAAGCTGATTAAACAGAAGAGGAAATACAGTGGAACAAAGAATGATGATGAAGAATCTGTCTTTCCCTACTCTCCTGCCACTCTTCCTAAACACATACATTAAATGGACTAACCAGCTATTATCTTAAGTCACTATGTTTTTAATGAAATGGTATGGTGAAGTTTCCATTTGCTGATACTTCCAAGTAAGCAAAATTCATTGTCCAGAAATGCCTATTCCCCATCTCCATGGCTGTTTGAGGGAAGTTCTTAGTGCTGTGACTGTCCTGGTGTGCTGTGACCTTCCTAATGGGACTTGCTCCTATTGTCACGTGGTTCCATCAGATTTCCTTCTGGAATCATCTGGACTTGCATTTTACCCCGAGACATTTTCGTGAAGGATCTCTGCTCTATTCTTCCTGATGACCAGTCACCTTGGGGATAGAACTGGGATTTAAAAAAGTCAGCCATAAGGTAGCTAATACACTTTGTCATTTGAACCATCTTTTCTTCTAAAGTGTTGGTAAATCCGACAACATTTAGCTTCAAATGGAATACTACTTCATTTAGGTGTTGGTAATTCCATCACTGGAGAAGAGAAAGAGGATGGACAAAGGACGCATTTTTCAAAGTGGTGGTTGTAAAATAACATGTTTCCTTGAATTCTCATATTCTGTCTCTTGGAATCTATCATATATTTGACTTTTTGTAGTTTTTTAACAGAACAATTAGTAAAAGACTTAGTGG